GCCTTCCAGCGGTGCCCGCCGGGGGCCGGGCCTGGCAGCCGCACCGCCACCGCTGGTGGTGTTGGCGGCCGAGCCCTTCGTCGTGCCTGCTGCCTTCTGATGCCGACGGGGGCCTGAAAGGGAGGGAAGAAAGCACAAACAAAGGAAAAAGTGACGCTTTTGCACTCTGACGTCATAATCCGTTGGGGGGGGGGAAGAAACCTCCTTTTTTGTTATTTTTCTCTTCAGCCCAGGCACAGGTGCTGATTGTAGGCTCTTGGCCAAAACGATCGGATCTGAAGTGCCTCACACGTACCGAGGAGATGTCTTCTGTCCTTTTATTGTCCGTGGTGCTGGGTAGGGGGAAGCACAGGATGGGGCGGTGCGCTGCAGGGCTGGGTGGTCTCCTAGCGTGGATTCTGTGAGGGTCTTCCAGTGCTGCTGAAAGTCCCTTTGAGTGTTTCAGAGGGACCAAAAGCAGGGACAGCGTTTCAGGGTGCAACCATATCCCTTTTCACAGAGCTAATACTCTGAAGCGGGTGGCATCCCTCCAGGAATGTTGTTTTCCCTGGTGTTCAGCTAACGCTCAGCTGTGCAGTTGCGCTCTTGGCCAAGAGCTCAGCTCTAAGTGTGACACACAGACACATACACAAAGATGTTTCCATCCCAGAGGGCCTCTGTAAAGTGCATTTGCAGCTTGCAGGGCCCAGCTCCAAAACTCTCTTTCTGGCTGGCTTTTTGGAGTCCCTGGAAGTGAAATTTCTAGAGAGACTTGCCCAGAGGTGGGAAGGAGTTTGACTGGGTACGAACAAGAAGTGCAGTGGGAGGAGGAAGGCAGGCTGATTACTCAGGGTAACGGGAAGAGAGGGAAATCAAGGAGAGGAGTTAGAAGAGAAATGCTGTAAGAAACTTCAAAGATCACAAAGATTTAGGCTGGGGGTGTGTGAAAGGCTTGGGTGAAAGGCCACTTGGAGCCAGCCTGTTTTTTTCAGAGGTGCTTGAAGTATCTCGACCCATGCAGACCTTGCTCCCTTGCACGTGGTCTCTTTTTGGCTGGGTTTAGAGCAAGAGAGAAGTGTTCTCTTTACTGAAAAGCTTCCCAAATGTGTCACAGCTTAACGCTAAACTACACGGATGGCATTCTTAGCAGCCTGCAACGCTCAACTTCAGAGCTTTTGGTGTGCAAATGCTGCGACTTTGATTCTCTGTCTTTCAAGTGGGGCTGTTGTTGCCGAGAGGGGTGTTTCTGGTAACAGTGCTGCGTTTTGTAGGTATTCTCACCTTTCAAGAGCAAATAGAAGTGGTTTTAAATAAATGGCCTGTCTCTCAGTAGTGTTTTCGTGTTTCTCAACAATAGAGAAATAGAAGACATGCAGAATAGAGTCAGACAAAAAAGTCTCTCGGAAAGCCTAGGCTGGATAAGCCTCCTCTTGTCTGAGATCATCTTTGCAGCTTGAACCAGCCCCTCTAATTGTCCTCCAGGACAAGCTCTGTGAGGTACTAGAAGTGGAGGTGATGTCAGAGGGTATGGGGTCTCCTCGCCCCAGCCAGGGTGCAGGTCTGAGCCTTGCCCACTTCACTGCTGCCTGTCTTCAGCCACATGAAGATGGCACCTGTCACTTGCGGCCAGTTCAGCTTGGATGTCCCAGCCAGTAGAGCCAGAAATTATGTTTTCATCAAACATTTCTTTGTGCTAAACAGGAGAGCTTTGAAATCCAGCTCCTGCTTGTTGCTGCTGTTGGCTTTGTGAGGCCTGGGCTGTGCTGAAGCACCCCAGCTCTTGGCTGGGGTTTTACTGTCCAGGTTATGGGGGGGCTTTTCCTTTCCCCAGCTCAGAAGACAGTCAGAAGGGGGTAGAGTCTCTCCTCCGTGTTGTGATTAGACTTCTCACACTGGAGGGGGCCAGTCATGGCCTTGCAGCTGCCTGTGGGGCACAGCCCTAAGGGTCAGCAGAGCCTGATCTGCACCAGCGGGCTGCCTCATGATATGCTTTGAGATACAGATAAGGTGCCTGGCAAGCTTAGTGGCTACTGAGCATCTCACAGTATTTATCAGCCGTTTACTAGTCACCTTAAAAACACATTTGTCTTTCTTGTACCTTCCTCCTCCTGTGGCTCTCTCCAGAAATCTTAATTTCAGTTTGCCTTCCCTATTTTTTGCCCCAGAGCCTCCCGTTCTCCACCCAGGTTGCTTTTTTCATCTCCAGTGCTGTGGTGGCCGAGAGGGTTACTGCTCTGGCAGCTTCTCACCCACCAGCTGGCAGTTGGTGCCCCCAAGCTCTGCCCGTGGAGCAGAGGATGTGAGATTTCCTCAGCTGCCTCAGTGCAAGTTGACACGGTCAGTCCCAGAGGGCTGAATGGAGCTGCTTGATTTTGCACTGGAGCAGATCGGGAGCA